CCCTGTCCCTCCTCAGAAGTATTTGCTTCTGATTACCCTCTTTCCCAATCTGCCCTCCTCTCTATCACCCCCTGCTCTCTTGTCCCCTTCTCCCCCTATTTTCCTGTAGGGTAAGACAGATTTCCATACCCAATTGAATGTGTATGTTATTCTCTCCTTAAGCCAAATCCTATGAGAATAAGATTCCCTCATTCCCTCTCACCTTCCCCTGTTTCCCCTCCACTGTGAGAGACTTTTCTTTTCTGTTTTTTTTGTGAGATAATTTACCCCATTCTACCTCTCCCTTTCTTCTCCGAGTATCATCCTCTCTCATCCCTTAATTTTATTCTCCAGATATGACCCCTTAATCTTCAACTCACCCTGTGCCCTCTATCTATCTATCTATCTATATATACATACATATAATTTTTTTCCTTCAACTACCCTAATACTGACAAAGTTCTCATGAGTTACAAATATCATCTTTCCATGCAGGAATGTAAACAGTTCAATCTTAATAAGTCTCTTATGATTTCTCTTTCCTGTTTACCTCTTCATGTTCCACTGAGTCCATTTGAAAGTCAAATTTTCTGTTTAGCTCTGGTCTTTTCATCAGGAATGCTTGAAAGTCCTCTATTTCACTGAATGACCATTTTTTCCCCTGAAGGATTATACTCAGTTTTGCTGGGTAGGTGATTCTTGGTTGTAATCCTATCTCCTTTGCCCTCCGGAATATTATATTCCATGCCCTGCGGTCCTTTAATGTAGAAGCTGCTAAATCTTGTGTTATCCTGATTGTGTTTCCACAGTACTTGAATTGTTTCCTTCTGGCAGCTTGTAATATTTTCTCCTTGACCTGGGAACTCTGGAATTTGGCTACAATATTCCTAGGAGTTTTCCTTTGGGGATCTCTTTCAGGAGGAGATCTGTGGATTCTTTCAATTTCTATTTTGCCCTCTGGTTCTAATATATCAGGGCAGTTTTCCTTGATAATTTCTTGAAAGATGATGTCTAGGCTCTTTTTTTGATCATGGCTTTCAGATAGTCCAATAATTTTTAAATTCTCTCTCCTGGATCTATTTTCCAGGTCAGTTGTTTTTCCAATGAGATATTTCACATTGTTTTCTAATTTTTCATTCTTTTGGATTTGTTTTACAGTGTCTTGATTTCTCATAAAGTCACTGTCTTCCAATTGCTCTATTCTAATTTTTAAGGAAGTATTTTCTTCAGTAATCTTTTGGACTTCCTTTTCCATTTGGCCAATTTTTCTTTTTAGGGCATTTTCTCCTCATTGGCTTTTTGGACCTCTTTTGCCATTTGGGTTAGGCTGTTTTTTAAGGTGTTATTTTCTTCAGTATTTTTTTGGGTCTCCTTTAGCAAGCTGTTGACTTGTTTTTTCATGATTTTCTTGCATCACTCTCATTTCTCTTCCCAGTTTTTCCTCTACTTCCCTTACTTGCTTCTCAAAATCCCTTTTGAGCTCTTCCAAGGCCTGGGACTGATTCATATTTTTCTTGGAGGCTTTGGATGTAGGAGCTTTGATTTTGTTGTCTTCTTCTGGTTGTATATTTTGATCTTCTTTTTCACCAAAGTAAGATAATATAGTCTGACTCTTTTTGTGCTGCTTGCTCATGATCCCAGCCAATTACTTGAGTTTTAAACTCTTTGTTAAGGTAAGAGTCTGCTTCCAATGTGGAGAGTGTACTGTCCCAAGCTTCAGGGGTTTGTGTAGCTGTTTTCAGAGATACTTGTAGGGACCTGTAAATTTTCAGTTCTTCCAAGGTGGTATGATAAGGGGCGAGGTGTTTACTCCTTTCCTGGCCTGTGACCACAAGTATTCCTTTCTGTCCGTAACTGTGAGGAGGGGTTTCTCTCCACAGCCACTACAAGCTCCACCACACCAGCGTTCCTCCTCACCCCAGCACTGCCGCCCAGAACTGTGACCCAGATCCACACACGGGCAAAGCAAGAGATTCCTGCCTCAGCACTGGCAAACAGATCCCTGCAGTCCCTCTCTGATCAGCCACTGGATTCCCCCTCAGTCTGTGGGCCAGAAGCTCGGGAAGCAGCTGTCCCCCCCCCCCCAGGGCCACGCTCTTGGGGAATGGAGCTGAAACTCCACCTTCCTCTCTGACCACTGACAGAAACAGACTTTTCCCACTGACCTTCTAAGTGGTCTTTGGCATTCGTGGATTGAGGAGTCTGGAAACCTCCACAGCTGCCCGCGATTCAGTCCTCTGAGGCCTGCTGCAGGTTTTCTGTGGACTGGGCGCCCACGCTGCACTGCGCTGCGCTCCCAGCCCGGCGCGATACACCTTTGTGATCAATCATCCAGGTTGTCTTGGGCTGGAAATTTGTTTCACTCTGTCTTTTTGTGGGTTCTGCTGATTCCGAATTTGTTTAGAGCCATTTTTTATGAGTATTTGGAGGGATTTGGGGGACAGCTCAAGCAAGTCACGGCTTTCACTCTGCCATCTTGGCTCCGCCCTCGAGAAAGAACTTTCACATTCACATATCGGCAACACATCTTTATTCAGGATATTTAAATATGCACTTGTCACATCAGTATTATTGTAACAGTCCTAAATTGCCACATGGCAAACAAAATAAACCCAGAGTAGGAAGGCCAAATCTTCAAGGTACTAATTAAGTTTTTTATAATAGCAAAGAACCACTATAATTTGTTATAGAAGTTTCTGAAAGCAGTACTTAACTTATTGTAGAAAAACAGCTTAACTTAATGTTTTACCTTGATGGCGCTAAGATGAAAGGGATGCTTTTAAATCTTTCAACTAAAAGGAAGCTACTGATTTAATTCAACAACATTTATTAGACATTGACTATGCACTGAGTGCTAGGAATACAGAGACAAAAACAAAGCAGTCCTTTACCTCAAGGAGTTGACACACTGCTTTCAGGGATGCAACATGTATACAGAGAAGTAAATACAAAGTAATTTCAGTAGGGAGAGAACATTCACAATTCAGGGTGGAGAGAGGGGTCAGAAAAGACTGGAGGATTATGGAGTGCATGACTCAATATAGAGAAAGCTATGGATTCTACAAGCTGGAGATAAGGAGGGAGTACCTTCCAGACATTCATAAAGTCACAGAGAAAAGAAGTGGCATGTTGAGTTCAGAAAACAATTCACAACAGACTGTGTTACATAATTAAATGTGATGCCTCATTTTACCATAAATTGTAGCATGGATATAAAAATCCTTCAGTGTTATGCACTATTTTATTACAATTGTTCACATTTGCCTCCTGTAAGATCTCTTTCTGGGCTCAAGAGTTGTACTTCAAGTTCCTTTAAAATAACAAATCATACTTATCAAAATGAGACATTCTTATGTAACTATAGGATACAGGGTAGTCATAAAAAAGACAAAACATCACTTTGATTAGGAAATTACTCATCCCTCAGACACACCAAGACTCCACTTTTTAACTTCAGTTCCCAATCATATAATGAAAAGCCAAGGTCAGTGGAGACAGACTTTGGAAATAGGCAGAAATTAACGTTGTCACTGGCACATTTAGAAACGTTCTGTCATCATATTACTAGTGCTTGCTCCTGTCCTTTAATGAACTCTTAGTATGCTAAGTGGAGAGGTAGAGATTTGGGGCTTTGAGAAATCTGGGGAGGGGACACCAGATAATATTTCAATAAGCATTTATTAGATATCAGCACTCATTCTGCAGGCAGGTAAGAATTCCTCCTAGCCCACGATAATTTAATGACTAAAGTATAATTGGTATATATCCTTTTAAGGGCATATTTTATACACGATGGCTACAACAATGTAAACTGAGTCAATATAGAGAGGCAAAAAAACTATGGTCAAACACAACAGCCAGCAACTAGCACTATACTGCAAAGTTAAGGCATGCATCTTTCTCCTTTCTATTCACAACTTATAATCAAACTATTTTCTCTAGGATATTTTTTGGGGGGGTGAGGCAATCGGAGTTCAGTAACTTGCCCAGAGTCACATAGCTAGGAAGTGTCAAGTATCTGAGGCTAGATTTGAACTCAGGTCCTCCTGCCTTCAGGGCTGGTGCTCTATTCACTGCGCCACCTAGCTACCCAGGGAATGTATTTCTAAAAGGGATTTGTTTGAGTGCTTGCTGGTGAAGCATCTGTTGTGCCAATACATAACATATCTAATTTTGCTTTTAATATAAAGGCATATTTAGGTTGACATGTGAAATATTTAATCCATTTACTCATAAATTTTAATTGTCAGAATACAAAATATCAAGAACATGGTTTAGGAATTAATAGGTACAAATATTAATCAATGGAGTCATTTAAATCTTTAAGTGCCTTTTCAAGAGTTGTAATACATTTTATAATTGTTGACTTTTTAAATGAAAATATTAATTAGTCTTTTATGCAAAAGTAACAGGCTGTCAATGAGCTAGATGCATGATAACATTCTACTAAGTTATATCTACCAGGATTTAATACATGAAATCACTGTAATTTAGATACTGTATGTGTCTAAATCAGACACATCAATAAATGCTCACCTGAGTGCCTATACCCTTCTCTCCACAGACATCCCCTACTGTCTTTGCCCTCCACCAAGTTTTCTTACTGCTAGTTTCATTGGAGTGGGAAAGAAGCAGAAGCCCTTGAACTGGGGGAACAACTGGCCAGGAGGGATATTTTAGGATGAAGAAACACAAGCCCAAGAGACCTGCCACCATGCCAATTCCACCCTCAAGGGAAGAGGGGTGTGGCTGTGTATGAAGGTGTTTAGTGAGGCGAGGAGGAAGGCAGGATCAAATGAGCAAGGTTTGGGAGTTGTTTGGTCTGTGTGAGGCTGTGTTAAACCTAAGTCAGCCTAAATGCAACTTATGGCAGCAACATAAACAACCAATCTGAGAATTTTAACTTTCCCTATGGACAGACGGGACAAAGAAAATGAAATCCTTAGGATAACAAAATTTATCATACTTTGATCCTTGTACTTAGAAAAGTCAGCAGAAAGTCTAATTTTTGATACGCTTACTTCTTCTATTGCTACAGTCTCTTTCTGGTGTCCTTGAACGACATGCTTTTCTAGCAGTCATCATCTTGCTTTTATTTCTGCTTCTGGAAACAAAGAAAAAAAGTGACATCTTAGAAAAAATCCTAATAACATTTCTGAAAACTCAGCAAACACATTGTATGTTTTCTTAATTTCACAAAATTACTGAACTTTAGAATTGGAAGGGACTTCCAATTCCATGGCTATTCAAGTCCAATTCATACCTGAAAAAGAATTCCCCTAGTACTATACTTGACAAGTTGTCCTCTAGCCTCTTTTTGAAAATGCCCAAGGCTAAACTTACTACCACCCCAAACAACTCATTCCACTTAAGAGTAGCTTTAATCAGTAGGAAGTTTTCCTTGATACCAACCCAAAATTTGCTTCTTTGCCATTTCCACCAAATGTTCCAGTCTCATCCCTCTTCTGCATGACAACCTTTTAGTTATTAAACATCCCTTGTTCTTTCAACTGATTCTTATATGGAAAGGAGTCAAGGCCTGTCACCATGTTGATTGTATACCTCTGGCTGATTTCCTACTTATCTCAGTATTTTTTAATCTACAGTAGAAATGAACACAATAGTCTAGATGTAGTCTGGAGATAAGGGCAGAGTACAGCAGTCACAGTCAGTCAACAAGCATTTATTAAATTCTTAACTATGTGCCAGGCGCTATGCTAAGTGCTGGGAATATAAATATAAGCAAAAAGAAATTCCCTAGCTTCAACGAGTTTATATTGTAATGGAGGAAGACAACATATATGAAGAAGTTTAAAAATGGGTGGTGGGACAGTGGGGGAAAGTATCCACATGGGGTTGGTGAAGTCCAAAGAGCCAGGAGCAGTAAGAGCAAATAAAATGAAGGATGACTGGCCTGTCACAAAATGGAGGTTCTAGGGGGAAAATACCAAAGAGAGAAATGGGGGGAGGTATATTCTAGGATTATCATCTGTGTATTCCTGAAAGCTGTTCATCTCTTAATGCATCCCAATATTGCATTAGCTATTTTGGTTGCCATATCACACTATTCCTGAGCTTGAAATACAATAAACCAACCCCCCTAGATCTTTTCCCTCCAAACACCATGGCCATGACTGCCTGATTGTTTACTTGTGAAGTCACCTTTTGAATCTACCAGCAATGCAACCTATTTATTATTAAATGTCATCTATTTAGATTTAGTCCAATCTTTTAGCTTGTCAAGATACTTTAAGATCCTATCAGTCAATGTGTTTTCCCTTTCTCTTCTAAATCCTCCATAATCTGTCTTCAGATCCCATTTTCAACTGAAACTGATCTCTCCAAAGTTACCAATGATCTCTTAATTGGCAAATCCAATGGCAATTTCTTAATGCTCATCTTTCTTGACCTCTCCACACCATTTGACATAATCAGTCACTTTCTCGTCCTGAATACTCACTCCTTCCTCTCTGGATTTTTGTGACTGCTCTTTCTTGGTTTTCCTCCTATCTGTCTGACCACTCCTTCTCAGTTACCTTTGCTGAATCTTTATCCTCAAGGTTTTGTCCTACACTGTCTTCTCTGTTCTCTTTATATTCACTTCCTTAGTGATCTTCATCACTTTCCATGTATTCAATTACCATGTTTATGAGAATGATTCCAGCTCCAGCAAATCTCCTTTGTTCCAGTCCCACGTTATCAACTTCCTATTGGATACTTATATCTAGATTTCCACAGGCATCTCAAATTGAACAAGTCTAAAAAAGAATTCATTATTTTCTCCACAAATCCACCATCTTACAAAATTCCTTATTACTGCTGAGGGTACCACCAGTCTTCTAGACTTTTGCATCATCTTCCTTTTATCCAACTTATTGATAAAAATATTAAACAGCATAAGGCCAAGCTTATATTTCTGAGGCATTCTACCAGAGACCTCCTTCCAGTTGATGTCGAACTATTCATGACTAATCTTTGAGTCTGGCCATTCATACAGTTCTGAATCCATCTAACCATACTATTATCTAAACCACATCTCTCTATCTTTGTATATAAGAATAGAATGATATATTTTACCAAATGTTTTGCTAAAAATTTAATTAACTACATCTAGGAAATTCTTCTGAACTATCAGTTTAGGAATCATGTTAAAAAATTAAATAAATTAAGTTTGGCATGATCTGTTCTTAAGGAAGTCATGCTGGGGTCAGGTCTCTAAGATCACCAGTTCCTTTCCTAAATATTCAATAATCACATAATTTTAGAGTTATAAAGGACTTTAGTAATAATCTAGTCTAACCTATACCTGAAAAAATATACTCCAAAAGTCTTGGTTATCCAACTTCTGCTCAAAGACCTCCAAGGAAGACCATACTGTCCATTGGAATAACCCGCTCCACTTTTGGCTAGCATCAATTATTAAGAAGAACATGAAGCTTAAATTTGTCTTCCACGCGTTATTCCTGATTGTGTCCTCTGGGATAAAAAAAAAACCAAATCTAATCCACCTTCCTCATAATAGTCCTTCAGAGGCTTGAACACAGCTATTGTGTGTCTCCTGAGTCCCTCATCTCACTCCCAGAATTTTGCAAGGAATCAACATCAAACTTACTGGCCTATAGTTTGGACACTAGTCTCTTCTGAAAATGAGAATTATGTTTACTTTTCTCTGATCCCACAGCTCAAAGCCATTCTCACATTCCATGATCTTTCAAACAGCAATGATGATAAAACCTCACATCCACCAGTTCTTTTAGTATCCCAGGATATAGTTCATTTGGGTCAAGTACCTTGAATTCACCAGTGGCAGTTAGGTGCTCTCTTATCACGTGGTAATTCTAAATGCTTGCTTTTGTTAGGAAATGGACATCTGGGACATTTTACAGGGGGTGGCAGAAAGCAAACTATCTACACTAAGTATCCTGGTGATATATGGAATGGAAAGATCTCCCTTATGACCACTGAACTATAATAAATTACAAAAAACTTAGGGACATTACAAAATGGGGAAGAGGGGTTTAGGGGTGGGGAGAGACTCAAATTGATCCTTAGCAAAGTCATAAAAACTCCAAGAAAATTCAGTAATGGTTAAGAAAACAAGCTCATGAAAAGCTTGACTATTTTTTAAAATTGGATTCTTGATGTCTAGTGTTAATTCATACTTTTCCTCGCAAGTTCCCAGTAATAATTCTCATTGAATGCAACAGTATTTAAGAAAACTAGCAGTTCAAAATACAAGTAAAAATTAGTCAATTTACAATTTTCTTAGAGGTAAGACTATTTCTGCTTTTTGATAAAAGCAGATTGAAGGAGCATGAATTTTTTTTCAATTCTGTCATCATAATGGCATGAAGGATGAAGATTCTCATTCTTTTCAACAATCAGTTGGGGGACTGGGGACACAGGGAAGAAGTATCAATCCACATCACGTCACCAGTATCCTTTGCTAATAAACTACAAATTATTTTTAGTATGATCTGATGGGACTGTTAAGCTAAAGTTTCTTGACCTAATTATACTATTTACAAAATCAAATATAATACATCCTTGTTCACAATAAAGAAATTGTTTCTAACATAAAGATGACTGTTTCTCATAAATTTAATCCATAATGTTGTTAGTAGAGATTCCCATGCTGTACTAGCCAAAAAGAAGCAATCTACTCTACACCAAAAAGGAGCATCATCAGGAGTTTGGCTGAGATTTCTCAGTGATCTCACCGGTTCAGGGAGGGAGAACTGAAGCTTCCCTCACTGCCTAACAATGACTTTGGGGCACAGAAGCAAAGCTGACTTTCTTCCATAGCTCTTTCCACTTGAATAAGAAATGTGAAATCAACAAAAGTATATTGGGGACACAAATGTGACAACTTGGGCAACAGGATGCCAGAACAACTTGGAAAACATGAATTTTGTTTGGGTCCAATTTCTTAATAAGTTTCACCAATAAATCACAAGCAAATAGAAGTAAAATGAAAAACTGTCTCAGTCTGTCTAGAAGTACTGTGATTTATATTAGGGTACAATGCCAATGAAAAAGCACTTAGGAATAGGCAATTTAAAGTCACAATACTTCCAAAATACATTATGAACTTTAAACCAGAGTCCTTAAAATTGGCTCTTTGTGAATGAAAATGTCAATATGCTATTATAAAGTACTGGCATGTCAGCTCCCTTGTATTCATTCCATTTGTGTCATTCCAACCTTTTATAATACATTTGATATCATCCATTTACATAGACAAACGATTCTATTCCCAAACTTAGAAAAAAGCAGTCTTGATTCCTTAACGAAATGATGGTATAAATTAAAAAGTCACCTTCTATAAAAATTACCTCTGTCTGGAGATCTATATTTCATTTTCCACAAAGGTAACTAAGAAAGAAAGGCAGCAGGAAGGCTTGTTTTCAAGTTCTGTTTCTGACAAATGCTAGAGAGAAGGCACGTAGTGCTAAAGTTCAAATCCAGCCTGAGACACTTAGCAGTAATATGGTCTTGTGCGTCACTTAACCTCTGTTTACCTCAGTTTCCTCAAATGTAAAATGGAGGTAACAATAGTACTTACCTCCCAGGGTGATAATCAAATAAAATAATGATTATAAAAGTGCTTGGCCCAGTGCTAGCACACAGTGTTTTATAAATGCTAATTATTATTACTGATTATTATGATGTGATCCTAAGCAAGTCATCTAATCTCTCAGCATTTCAGACAATTCCCTAAGATTCTATGAAAAGCAGAATAATCACCAATCTGCATCAACAGACCTGTATATCGTTCATAGGACCATATATTTAGAATCAGAAGGGAATATTGAAAAACTCGTTCAGAAACACACTAATAAGAATTAATAAGTGAAAAAAGCCAAGAACTAGAACCCAGGTCTTATGACTTCAAGTCCAGTGATCTTTCTACTAAACTACACAGCCTTCCAAATTACATTAGGCAACTTAACATAGTAGAAAGAACCCTGGCCTGTTCATCAAACCTGATTTCCAGTGCTGACTCTGCCATTCACTAAGCATATGGCCTCAGACAATTCAATGAGCTTCTCAGGGTCTTGGCTTACCTTTAGCTACCTAAGTAAAAGGAGAACATCCTACAATACATTTTCATTAAAGTTTTCTCAAAATGCATCAAATGTTCCATGGAATGGAACAAGGTTCTTAAAATGCCCCCATTTGTAGAAAAATGCAATTGAAAGTCATTTAATACTTCTAAAGTATAGAAAGTACATCTAGTCTTTGCACACTACAAATGAACACTCTTCTCACCAAAAGGTTGATGTAACCATCCACAATGCTAAAACAGAGTAGATTAAAAATGCACATTGCCTACATATAATTGGGAGACCTGTTTCTCAAGTTAATCCACCATTATATAGATCTTGGGTGGATGAGATGGATGGAAGGATTGCAATCCTATTGACAGGGCTTGGCACAACACTCAAAATGAGGAAGAGATTAGGTTAGTTCATATTTAGGAAATTCCGCAATACTTTCAATGATTTTTAAAAAGCCTCTCAATACCAATATTCTTACAGTGATATTATATGGTTACAAATCTTGGAATAACACAATCTATGAAGAATCAAAATTATAGGTAAGCAGGGGATACAGAGACAAAGATGAACCAATCTCTGTCCACAAGGAGCTTACATTCTACTGAAGTAGATAATATGTACATGTTTAAGTATATACAAAATATATACAGTACAAAGTAATTCAGTGCAAATAAATACAAAGGGGTAGGGGGAACTGGCAGCTGGGGGAAATTAAGGAAGGGGCTTATGTAGTAGGTGGTTTTAGAGATGAATTTTAAAGGAAATTGAGGATTATAATTTGTGGAGGTAGGGAGGAAGTACATTCCAGGCTAGTGCACAGGCTTGGAGACAGGAGATAGAATGTTGTATGAGAAGAATAACAAAAAGGTCAATTAGGCTGAACCAAAGAGTGCTAAAAGGCATAATATATCTAATGAGACTGTAGCGAGGTTGTGAGTGGTATTATATGCCAAACAGAAGGCTTCACTTGTTTCTAAAGGCAAAAGGGAGCCAGTGAATTTTATTTAGCAGAAGAGTAACCTAGTCTGACCTGCTTCAGGAATATCATTTCTGTAGCTGCACTGAGAATGGATTCAAGAGGGGAGAGACATGAGGCAAGAAGAACAGTTAGGAGGTTAGAGCAACAATATAGTTAAGAGGTGATAAGGGCCAGAATTAGGATGGTGGCTATGTGAGTGGAGAGAAGGTGACTGATGTGAGATGCTTCAGAAGGAGACTCTATAAGACTTGCCAACTGATTGGATATGTGGGGTAAGACAGAGTAAGGAGTTGAGGATGACTTGGAGGTTGCAAACATGGGTGACTAGAAAGACAGTGGACTCCTAGACAGAAATAAGGAAATTAGGAAGAAGGGCAAGTTCCAGGGCAGAAGAAATAGTGAGTTCTGTCATGGACATGTTAGGTTTGAGATGTCTACAGGACATCTAGTTCAAGATGTCCACTAAGCAGTTGGTTATTTGGGACTAAAGTTCAGATGAGAAAGAGAGAGAACACCATTAGATATGTACATCTAGTAATCACCTGTGTAGCAATGATAATTGAACCATTGGGAGCTGATGTGATGTCACCTAGTGAGATACTAGAAAGAAAAGAGAACCCAGGACAGAGCCAGGAAATATACCTAAAATTAGCAGGCAAAGAAAGGATGCAGAGTAGGCTGAGAATGAGCAAACATGTATGAGGAGAACCAAGAAAGAGCAATGTCATGAAAACCCAAAGAGGACAGAGTATCCAAGAGGGGTGGGCAGTCAGCATTGTCAAATACTACAGAGAGGTCAAGAAAAATGAGGATTCAGAAAAAAGCCAATGGATTTAGTAAGGCTGAGATCACTGCTACTTCAGAGAAAGTCATTTCAGTAGAATGAGGTCAGAAACCATGTTGCAATTGTTTGAGAAGTGGTAAAAAGAAAGGAAGTGGCATCAATGAGTATAGACAGCTTGCTCTAGGTGTAGATAAATAGATACATAGATACACAGACAGACAGATAAATATTGCATTTCTAAAGAAATACTATGTGAATATTATTACTTGGAAAAGTTACAAATATTATACACAGATCACTTTGCGGGGCTACTGGTGGGGTTTTGAGATGGCAAAATGTTAAATAAGCCTTCTTTAAAAACATGAAAAGCTCATAGGTAATAGACAAATGATTTGCTATTAATGACACTGAGATGAAAATTAGATTATCAAAAAAGAAGACAGGCCTACATTCTCTGATTCTGTAGGGAGACCAATGAAATGTCTTTTGTAATTTGATGCCCAGTGGACTTCCAAGACAAAATGGCAACAGACTGCAAAGGTAACATTTTTAAAAGACAAATAGTGATTTTCATTCCTTATATAGTTCCTGAAGTTGTGCATAGTATAAAAGTACACTCTCCAGACACCCTTACCTTTGCTACCCAGTGTGATGGGAAAGCATTACAGTTGACAGTATAGTAAAATGGAAATCTCAATTTATTATTTAACCTTGATCATTTTTTTCATTTTACTTCTTATTCTTTTGGAAATGCAAGTAAGTCTACCTCATGCCCAAGAAAACTAGAGCCAAACCAAAAAATACTGCCCTAAGAACAAGCATTTGTACCGTGGGAGCCAAATTTCTTTTCTGCTTGTGAAAGAAAATATTACCTTATTTGGGACAATGTGCTGCCATGAAAGCTGGATAGCTAAGGAATTAGGAGAATGTGGTAGAATGGAGATACTTCAGTGTGCTCTCAGAGTAATATTTAAAATATGTGATTTAGGTTCTCTTCAAATATGCTCATAAATCTGAGATAGACATTTGTGAGCTGCTGCTTTTTTCAGATGAATCTGAGTTATACGAGAGTGTAAGCCCTTAGGAGACAAGGGTTTGTAGCTACCTAGACAACATTTCAAGATTTGTGAAGTACTTTTGAATAATTATGACTCTCAAAGGGGCCTATGTTATTATAAAAGCAAAATAAGCAAACACGTATTTACTAAGGACTAGGACTGTATGGCTGACCTGTGCAAGGAATGGCACCAAATACAAAGAAGTGAAAGACATGGTCACTGCAGTTAAGAAAACTACTGTCTAACCAGAGACAACATATGAAAACAAAAAAGCTAATACTGGAAAAATTATAATAAAGAAAATAATTTAAGTAGGAATACAAGGCAGTACATGGTTAGTTGCCAAATAAATTAACTAGACAATGCATGAGAGGAGTTTGGAGAAGACAGCAATCACCGTAGGCTGTACAAATCTGGAAAGATTTGATGGAGAGTAGGAAGGATCTCTGATCTTTCAAGGAGGGCACGATTTGAACACATGGAGAAGAGGCCAAGGGAGTCATTATCAGCTGAGAAAATGGCATGAGTGAAGGCAAAAATATAAGGACTGTCTGAGGAATGGTAAATCTATCAGTGTGACTAGTCTTAGAACTAGCATGAATAATCATACTACATGATCAGTTCTATAGAATGGTCAGAATTCTGGCAGCTCTTTCAAAAGCTAATTATAAAACATATGCCATCCAGTCTCCAATAGGCTGTAAGTGCCTTGCTGACTCTTAAACTGGAAAGCCACCTAGCACCTAGCACACTCCTTTGCACACAGTAGATATACAATATATATTTGTTACTTGAATTCTCTCTTTACTCTTCAGCTGCTCTGCTGTCTACTCACTTACGTAAAAAGACAGGAGCAAGACTGGGAAAGGGCTTTTATGAAAATGTGAAAAAAGTACATTGAGTTCTCTGTCTCAGAATAGCTTGTGGTAGTGTGTACTCGATCGTCCCGTCTGAAGCCTGAGCTAGAACCTGATTAATCAGGCTATCCTGGATCTATGATCTCATTTCTGGGCCAAAACACACAAACATGAATGTAAGCTGGTAACATTATATTTAATTTGAAGTGTCTAAGTATATAGAGCCCTGTGCTAGGTGTTAGAGATAAAAAGACAAAAACAATTCTAGCCTTCATGGGTATAATTTGTTTAAATAAGATCATGCATAAACATTACTTGGTCTAACAAATTGACTGAATATTTATAATAATTTACTAGTTCATGGTATACATTAATTTTGAAAGCTGTGATTATGTTTTATGGGTTGCCATGGTCAAAGAATTTATCACCAAGTGGCTGGCCTACTGGAGGTGAGCTTCTATGTATTTAGCTAAGCTTGTTTTTGGAAAACAGACAAAGTCTGCTGCTGGAGCCCTAGTCAATTCTTTTGTAAAATGTCATCAGAGAGACAGATGACTAGAAAAGAAAGTGAGTAAGTAACATATTGAAAGTGAAGGATAAACAATAGCTAGAATAGTCTATTGTTACCTATTTGATGTCAAGAGAGGTAGAGGAAGGCATTCAGTACATTGAGTAGAAGATTACTAGCACAGCATGAACAAAAGATGTATGGGACGACAGAGCAAGATAGGGTGTGATATGCATTGATAAAAGGAATACCCATATCAATGAGATCATGGATCCACTGAATTATCCAGATAAATGACTATGTTTACTTACCTTGATTCCAAAAACTCCTTTTCCTCTATGAGGTCTCTTATGATGTCTGAGCTGGAGCTAAAAGGACATGTACATAGCATTATCGTAAGGCATTTCTTAAGGTATTTGCAAGCTGCACTTTGACTGGCAAGGCACAAAGCCATGCACAATGACTGAGTCACTGCCCCTAGGGCTTACAGTCTTACGTCAATAAAATGCCATTACAATGGACCTCACAGTTCCACAGATTTGGTCACAGTGTAAATAGTGACAATAGAATCTATCCCTCTCATTATAATGGAGAAAATACATGTAGATATTAGCCTTATCCACTTAAAAAAACATTTTAATAGGACGACAATATACAACTGCACAGTGCTTTTGATAATCCCAGGCTGCTTCCCAGTCCAAAAGCCCATCTTTTCAACATGATGCTCTGCAGTTGTAAATCTTCAGATACCACAATCTGTGAAGAATTAAAAGTTGCAAGTGGTCCAAATGGCAATGCAAAGATGTATAGTGGGTGCAAGGAAACTGCAGGTGTCTCCAGTGATTACTTGGGCCCAAAAAAGGAACAAAATGATTTGGTGAAATGTATAATTAGACAATGAGATAAGGCCTGTCACGAGGTTTGAGTAAGGAGCAGCACAGCCTAAGAGGGCTAAAAGGACATGGGTGGGTTAGCACAGAACACTCACACTGACAGGATCACCAATCCATTAAAGGGCATTGAGTACATAAGGATTGGCTGAGGGAATTACGAATGTTTAGCCCTGAGAAGAGAAGACTGGGGAGGAGGGTGCCCGTCAGGAGAGCAAGGGAGAAGGTATAATGGCTGTTTTCAAGTGTCTGAGGGACTACCACATGAAAGAAGGAATAAATTTGTGGGAGAAGGTATAATGGCTGTTTTCAAATGTCTGAGGGACTACCACATGAAAGAAGGAATAAATTTGTTCTGATTGGCTCCAGAAGGCAGAACCTGAAGCAATAGGTGGAAGAGGAGATGAAGAAGAAGAAAGAAGAAGAAGAAGAAGAAGAAGAAGAAGAAGAAGAAGAAGAAGAAGAAGAAAAGAAGAAGAAGAAGAAGAAGAAAAAAAAAAGGGGAGATAGTGTACCTGGGGAAGCCCTGAGTTCCCTTTCAGCTCTGCTTTTCAAGCAAAGACTGGGCGACTGCTTGTTAGATAGTACAGGAGGTACTTTTCCAGACAATGGTTGGAATAAATGGCCTCTGAAGGGTCCCTTCCAAACCTAAACTCAGTGATTCTTATTCTATGAAAAGTTGAAAAAGAAAAAGCATACAACATAGAAAGCTCTGATGACTATTAATTATAGATTTAGACACTGAAAACCTATTGCTTGATATAGCCAATAGTTGCTTAAGTGTAGGGCAGATGGAAAAGACCTCCTAGATGAACCCTCTCTTTTTACAGAAAATGATTTGCCCAAGGTCACACAGGTAGCAAGTGGCAGGACCAAGTTTTGAATCTGGGAGCTATAGCCTAAGATCAAGGTAAAAGAAGTATGTAACCTTCCATCACATTCAGGAATCCTCTCTGCAACATTCTTAACAGGTGATTTAACTAGCATCTGTTTAAACATAAATCAGTTTACCTCAATTGGTTTCATTTTCCTTATCTCTAAAATGAGATTAAATGAAAAGATCAGACAGGATGACCTTGGAGCCAAAGGACACATTCAATCCTAATTCTGCCACTCACTGCCTGGAAGACTTTGGCTAAGACATTCAATTAACCTCTTTGGCCCTCAGCTTTTTCATCTATAATATGAAGGGGTTGGATGAGGTGATTTCTGGGTCCTTTCCAGCTCTGAATCTATATTCCTATGATCTCTTCCAGTCCCATAATTCTATGATTCTAACTTTTAGTGACAGGGACCTAAGCTATCCTCAACCCTACTCACCTCCACCTAACTGAAGCTTTTCCTAATAAGATCACAATAGAGAAAGCAGGCAAGAAATGGAGGTGTGGATGGATTTGTCTGCAACATGAATCAATGACTGAAAATGAGTTTCCTAAGTTGAAACTGTAGGATGGAAGAGTGGAAAGAGTAATAGACTAGAAGTCAGGAAGATCTAACAAGCAATTCAATGCAATTCAAGAAACATTTATGAAGCCTCTATAGTTTTCAATATACTCTCTTAGGCATTGTGGTTAAAAAGACAAAGATGAAAAAAATATGTGATTTCAAGGAACTTCATTCCACTGACTATGTGACTATGGACAAGTTACTTACTCCTTCCAGATGAGAATTTTCTCATCTGTAAAACTGGAACGACAATATCTGCAGTATCTACTTCACAAGTTGTTGTGAGGTTTAAATGAGATTATGCATCAAAAATGTTTTGCAAACCTTAAAGCACTATACAAACATCAGTAAGTATCATTAATAATAGTTGAATGCAAGGGAGGCTTTATATCTGGAATAGGCAGCTATTTATACAAAGTAATTCATGGACAGTCCTGAGTCTTCCAATATAACTAGCCCATCACAGATACATAAATAAACTTTACTAAAAATCTGTTCCTATGAGTTAAAGGATTGACTTCTGTTAAACTAAAATAATCCTGAGGGGCAAACATAGTAAGTCCTTATCAGTCACTTACACTTGTGTGAATTAGTTTACATCCTTTTCAACACAGCAGCTACCCATGAGGAGATTTTGATAGAGAAGAGAAATAGAGCAGAGTATTGGGTATTCTAATGGGAAGAGGCAGAGGGTAATAAAATAAGCAGCGAGGTGTGAAAGCACCAAGGATAAACTTCCCCCTTCTTCACAATTTTGCTGAGCATCAGCTCTGGTTAGGTAGATACAGATAATACCCAGTCCTTGACTACAATCTTGGAAAAATTAGAAATCCTTCCCAGGTGAGATTGTAGATTATAAATAATTATATAGAATAGTTACCTTTCTACTTTTCCTAAGACACTTAGACAGAAATTTTATGTGGTACCTAAGACAAATTAAATACCAAATGCAAGTTGTGAAAGTGGAGTGGGGAGGTAACACTTTGTACTACTTGTCACATTTATCTGTCCAACTCTGATCCAGTTGCATCAGAGCCACGTACCAATAACAAGTTGGGAAAAGCTGGGGCCGTATGCCCGGGACCCAGCATCTTCCCACTGTCAAAAGATGGAATGTGGAAATTGAGAGAGCAGGTTTCCTTTCTTTTTTAATACAATGGTTAGAAGCATTCAACCCATTCCAGATAAGTAAGCAGAATAGTCAACCCTGTCAACTAACTCAGTATGTTGTATGATCAATTTACACTTGAGCTTTCAGAGTACCAGCTAAAGCCACTGGTTTGTTAAAGGAAAATATTTGCGGTACATTAAGGACACAAACCTCAAAGGTTTCTTAGTGATGTGATGTCACATCAGTGAAAACAGATGGCAGAGGAAGAATTTTTAAAAATCCACAAAAACCTCTGAAATTTGCCTATTCCTTTAACCATAAAGAACATCAACATCCATGTTGAGTCATCTAACAACCTAGCTCTAACAGTTCCTTAACTTAAACTCCAATGACCTTCATTCTCACTGCTTCAGCTTCATCCATCACAACAGCCAGTAATCAGGTATTAGCTTTGACCTTTCTCTGTAGCATTTGATATCTTCAGCCACCCCTTCTTGAAACTCTCCACTTTTCCTTATGTGGCATTGAATTATCCTGATTCTCTTCCCTCATAGATGTTTCTTCTGTATTCTTCACAGGTATTTCCTAAGTTCTAGAAGGCTGTGCCAGTGGAGAATAATCTCTGGTAGGTTGTCCAAAGCTGAAAAGGCTTACATAGGAGTCTGGTGCAGGACTGCATGCCTACTGACCCAGGCTGACTACTGGGTAAAGAATTTTTCTAAATAGGTACCCATCTACTGGGGAATGGTTGAAGAAATTATAGTATAACATGAAATATGATTGTGCCATAAGAAATCATGAAAGAGAAACCTAAGACTTATATGAATTGTGCAGAGTGAAGTGAGCAGAGAACAATTTTTATAATAGCAAGTCAACAATAAGAATTTAAATGTTTGTTGACTTGTCAAGAACACTGTTAAGATAAACTTTGAAATGCTTAAGAATTCTGATCAATGGAATGACCAACCATGATTCTGGAGAAGTGATAATAAAGAATGTTATTAACCTCCAGAGAAAGAGCTGATGGACTCAAGATGTTGAATAGGACCTATATTGCTGGACATGGTCAATATGGGGATTTTTTTTTTTGCTTGACTATATATATCTCTTACAGGGGTTTTGCCTTTCTTTTTTCAATTGGGGTAAAGGGGAGTGGGAGAGAAAGAAAGTAAATGTTTGCAAGAATGTCTATTAAGGTGTTGTTTTTTTACATTTTCCCCTGTTAAAAATATATTTATTACTGTTTCCTTTACCTTTTTTATTTTGAACTTAACACCAAATAAAATGGGCGTTTCCATATGCCTAGTAGAACAGAAGAAGATTGTACATGAAATTGTAGGATTTCTACCCTATACAGCTTACTTTCCTTTTCAAGTATATAATAAATTCAACCTGTCTTTCAAAACTGTCCTACTTCTTTGTGCTTTATTCTAGCCTTGCTTCTGTTCTCTTTGCGTTTATTTTTAAGTACTATCCATTGTGTAAAAAAATGCTGAAAACTGCTTCAGTAACTTGTCATCTTGATTCCTACTTCATCAATCAACTAAAACTATTCTTTCCAAAGTTACTAATAATCCAGTAACTGTCAAAACTAATGGCTTTTTTTTCTTAATTCTCATCATTCTTGACATGCCATTGTTGACCACCCTTTCCTCCTGGATATACCTCCCTCTCTGGGTTTTCATGACACTGCTCTTCTCCTGGTTTTCTTCCTTCCTCTCTATTTCTCAGAATCCTTTACTAAATCACCATCATTGTCATGCTCCCTATTTGTGGGTGATCCCAAGGCATATAGAAACACATCTAGCAGTGTTTCTTTTTTCTAGCCAAGATCTTCCTGTCAAACTCAAGAGAAATGAGGTAAACTCAGAAATGTGGACAAAAGCAAGATCTTACCCTATCTGTACATCTTGGTCTCTAG